TTCTTCACTGACTTCTAAACTTGCCAACTTAATTTTAGTATTCGTATGTTCATTTTGAAGAAGACGCTTGCAAGTTGATTGCAAAAATGTCATGTCTTGACTCGGAAACCTAAAGGCATTGTTAAATGTTCATATTTAACTTTATTCTTCTACGTGTTCAACTTTTCTACATGCAATTGTTCGTACGAGCGTCGTGTGTGCAATTTTTTCTGTGTGTATTGCACTTGTTGCTGCACTTGAAACGTTGTACGTTGCCATCACTCGACAAAACAAATCTTTTCGACATTTCAATTTTTCATTGGGGAATTGATACAATGTTTGCTTTTGTTACAAACCATTGGTAAGAAAAAGGCATTGCTTGTGTGATTTGGCTGTGATCATGTGGCAACAAGCGTGTATTCACTTCATTTCAATCGAAATAATACTTAAACTTTCAATTCGCATAGTTTACGATTCATTTGAGAATAACGATGAACATTCAATGCCAAAGACCAACAACCAATTTCACTCACTAATAATTCATACATTTCTATATCGATGCCACCGCTGACGCCGTCGTCGCTTGTTACTTTTTAACTCTGGGCGTTCACTGAACGCACAATAGCATTTGTTTTAATTTTATATCCAAGTGCATCAGATCATGCAATCTATTTTAATTTTGTTTTACTTTCGACAGCACTGAATCCAAGCGCATTGCCAATTCGCGTGCTGTCGAATCAGAAGAAAAAAATATTGATGTGTGATAATAATATGCATTAAAGTCTAGATCAGGGCTAGGCAGATTTCAAGGCCCTTTGGTGGGGTTTGGATAGTTCGAATAGAGCTTGATGTTTTTTTAATCCACAATGCCTAACCAGTAACAATCAGCGTATCACAAAATGTGTTCAAAATTTCTACTGGACGTGACAGAGGGTTCCAAAATAACATATTTCCATTTTTTTGCCTAAATTGCTATGGAGTCTACATACAAAGTTTTGAAGTCCCAAACAATATTTTGTGAATTGTGTTTTGCAAGACCCTGCTTAAGTTGAAACAGCAGGATTTTTTTTACTCTTTGCCGAAGAGCTCGATTTTTATCTGCTTCAATAAATTGTCTATTTCTTCTTCATTTTCCCATAAATTTTCCGTTCAGTATTTGTTTCGGGGCAATCCTCCGATAAATTTCCATACATCGAACGTATTTCGCATGCAAAAGGAGTCATGTTCGGTTCAATGTGTTTCAATTATTATCGTCAGCACATTTCAGCTTCTGACATTGACTTTAAACCGAAAATAGAAAAGATTGTTTTTTTTTTCATTCATTCATTTTTGCCTTTGTCGTTGATGCATGCAAAAGCCAGAAAATAAAAAAAAACGTGTTAAATCAATAAAATGTTATGGTTTTAGCACATTTCTTCTCGACTATTTTGTTTAACACATTCTCTGTGAAATGAAGGCACTTTACTTTACGAGCATGAAATAACAAGAAATCGCAAAGTTTCATCAAACAAGATGGGAAAAACCCCCATTTAAAATTAAAGTGCATAATGAACGAAATGGAATTAGCACTTTTGGCCATTTCATAAATTCACAGTCGTTTTCCAAATTAAAAAAATGAAAAACGTGAAGAATTAATGCGAAAAACTTTTCGATGTGACGGAAATTTCAAGTGGCACATTTTCATATTCATGACCTTATGACCATTTGCAATGCTCTGAATTTTTAATGAAAACCAATAATTTTTTTTTGTTTCCAACGGTGTGTGTCATCGCCGCAATTTACTTCGTCAGTTACAGAATTTTGCGATCGGTGGTTAGAATGAAAGCAAATTGAAATTGGAAAAATGTGGTTTTCTGTTTTTAATTTCAGTGGGCGATAATTCAATTTTCATGTTATTGAACCATTCCATTAATCATTTCGTCAATAATCGTTTTTTCTTTCGATAAACTTCGTCTTGATGTGAAACCACTTATTGATACTATATCTTGAACGAATAACAGTGGAAACAGATATGTGATAAGAACAGTGGAAAAGAATTGATATTGCTGGTGGGTCTGATTCGTTCTCAAAACAAACGTATAGCATGAATCGAAACGACGATGGTGCGAATATTGAAAATATCCAAACTAAATTATACAATACGCACAGCATGTGTCCAACGACCTTAAGATCATATTGAAAGACTCTAATGTCTATTCACTTCTTTCCATCCACTATTCTATGCCAGAATATTAAATTTATGTTCAGTTCCAGTTTTTTTTTAATTTTTGTTTGTTTTACCATGCTCGTTGATTTTCGAATTTCATTTCCATATTTATTTCATTTTTTTCGGGTTATACACATTCAACTCGAAAATATGTTCATCTGTGACTTTTATCAGTTTATTTCTTATTTCATCTTAAGAATAGTGGCTTTTGATTGCGTTTTCAACATTGAGATTAACTTCTTGATAAAAATTTCAAAATAATTTTCACCAAAGGTGTAAATAATAATCTTGTATCAACACAGATTTGGATATCGGTGTTGTGCGGTCGAAAAACAAATCAACCGAACCGAAATTTAACTGAAGTGTGAACTCAACCAGACCGAAACTCTATATAGTCTACCTGATTAGTAAATCGAACACATGCCTATAAGTGGTCATTGTATTGATGCGGGAAAAATGTGTTTTTATCTCTCACTTGATCGCATTCCGAATATGAGTAAGCCGGTAGCCAGTTTTATGGATAATCAAAAAATGATGGAGTTTTATCATTTTAAAATCATAAATGCCGCGTCGAACTCACCAATGATTTCTCTGAAGAAGAAATAAGCCGCAACATCACACCACATTTTTTTTATTAAGAATATATTTTGTTGTTGTTTCGACATCTATTCGAAATAATAGAAGTCGATGGGATCGACAAAACTCGCCCGCCTTTTTATTGTTTGTATATTGCTATAAAATACAATTTATTGTTGGACTTAGTGTTGTTCAAATATGCATTTCTTTGTTGTCTCGATTTGTGTGTGGTAATACATAAACAAAATATGGCAATCGAATTGCCAACCATCTTGGCGGCATCTTTTATTCCATCTTTGATGCGCATACAGCGAACCAATTACTATTATTGATACTTCGCTAATTAATACTGGCCGTTTTTTCTACGTACGTGTTACAATATTTGGCTTATTATAACCAGTTAAATTCTTTAAGTGCAATTTGTGTTAATACAAGTAAGTTCTGACTCAGGCATTTCCGCCCCAGCACAGTATGATTCGTTTGTCGGAAATACTTGAACAGCGATAATTGAATACAAAACGTCTTCAGCAAAAAAAGGAGCTTCAGTATGATGAATCAATTTATTTCATTATAAGTTTATTATGACATTGTAAATGGTAACTTGCAGCCAAAGCACAACAACTGTGTGCTGGAAAAAGTTTGCCATTCTCATCGATACATAGTTATAAAATGTTCTACAAGTGCTCTCTGCGTTCGAATCATTCATTGGAATAGGGGGTATACCCCCCTTAAATCTTCCGAGCTACCTCCCCAGGCGAAAGTTGAGTATTCCAAATTGTACTACCGACTGATGGATGTATTAAATGAAAGTTGTATGGAATCTCAGTCAATTCAAGCCGAGTATTCCCTTCGATTTTCCAGGGTTTTTCATTAACGGATTCCCATTCCCTCCCCATTTCAACGATGCCATTTATAGTTCGAATGAATAATACACCAGAGCAAAAATCAAATTTTTCAATTTTTGTTTGTTTTGCAATATTCCGAAATATTATGAATCGTCTATCAAAAGCGCAAGCGAATCTGCCATTTTGCAAAATGTCTTCATTAATTTCAATTAAAATAGAGGAGTTCATGATGTTCGATCACATTTCAGTGAGAGCGTGTGCATTAAGTGGTCCGCATATATTTTGAAGTTTGTTTATTCAAACTGATTTTCAATTAACAACGATGTTTCAAACCACGAACATACAAGCACTTGAACACTTCAACCGCAACTTCCAATTGCGAACATTAATCGAGTTTCACTCAAACATCATGAAATGAAATATGCGTATCGGCGAAATTGCCGTTTTCAAGGAAAAAAAACGGGGGTTTGCAATGAATTTACGACAACGAAAAGGAGCCGGAGCTAATAGTATACGTCTTCAGACTAGCAAAGAATTGGCACAAAACAAATTTATGCGTAGCTGGTCGTATCAACGAGACGCCATCGATTACTTTATTTGGTCAATTTACAGCGTTTTGTAAACTTCGCATTTGCGCTACTGCAAATAATAATAATAAAATAAATATATTTTAAATGCGATTATTCAGACACGCAAAAAGTATACAGCGAAACTGATTCGAGACTTATATGGCGAAAATCGAGCAAAAATCTGTCTCTCCTTTGAAATTGGCACTGGTGACCGCGGATTTTTTTTTTCTGAATTCATACCGACTCATTGCATTGGAAAAAGAAATATTTTCAATTCATAAACTGTAAACAATGGATTTTTAACCGGCGAATGTCATTGACTTATAAGTCGGCGTGATCAAATTTGAAACGAACATCCACTGTGGTCATTTTCGAACCTGTTCTCATTTAAACCATCAACATTTATGATCATTTCGTTTTTCGATCTCGTTTGTTTTTCTTTTTTATATTCACCATTTGATGATAAGATTTATACGAGTTTGGCTAATGTGAATCGATTGATGTGTGATGCAAAGAAAACACATCCATTAAACTTGGGTGTCAAGTCAATCTAAAGAACCATTCATAAATAGCTGGATTGAATAGCTTTTCAGCTCAATCGAATCGTTTTGTTATTTCTTCATCGACTTTGAAATCAAGCCATTTAAAAGTGATGTCGCAACAGCGGCAAAAACTAAAATAGAATCAAACGTATTTTATTCTTATTTATTCATCTCATTTGCATAGCATCTTTTTGTGTGTGTCTTCATTCTTATTAACAATGTTTTTGTAACTCAACTTTTTTGTATCTTAATTTTCCGCGTTTTTTTCGCGCTTCATTCACAGTTTGACAATGTCAACAATTGCCTGAATACATTGCATACACTTGCCGTGGGTGGTCTCGATGAAATTACAACGAACGACATATGCACCGGTAAACTGCGGTCGATATTAGGTTTGTTCTATGCTTTAAGTGTGTACAAACAAGCGTCCAAACAGAAAACGAGTGGCGTCTCCATCAACAAGCAACTAACACAAGCTCCAGAAGCAGCGGCACAACTGCAGCCGACACACCAACCACTCACTCAGCAAACACAACTTGGACTTCAACCGAACGCTGTAAATGCTTCCAACGAAATGCTGAATAGGTAAGTGCATTCAGCTTTTCTCCTCCATTTGATTTTTTTTCTTCAAAAAGAAGACTTTTATTAAAAGAAAAGTGGGACTTTTGATTAGATGATTTTTGGTATAAACGTCAGGAGTTTTTAAAAACCACCATATCATGAAAAAGCACAAATCATTGACTTTTTCTCTTATTTTTATAATGAAAGATGTTGCAAATAAGTATGATTCAGTATTTGCAAACTAGTATTCTATGAAATACTATTGTCATTTAAAAAATAAAAAATATATTTCATTCTTTCAATAGAGTTCAAACTATTCAGTTGTTTTATTATCCAACAGGGTTATGGGCCCAGACTACGCTATTTAAAACAAAAGAATAAAGTTAAGAACAAAAAAAAAAAAATTAAATTGATTGAATCACAAAATGGAGAAAAGTCCAAAAATTGAAAAATTAAATAATACAAATTATTATACATGGAAATACAAAATTGAATTATTATTAATCAACCAAGGAGTATGGACTGTTATTAGAGATGAACTACCAAGTACGACACGACAAATTCGAGAATGGCGTAAAAAGGATGACATAGCAAGATCCCTAATTGGCCTAAATGTTGAAGACAGTCAATTGGTACACATCAGAGGCAAGACAACAGCATTAGAAACTTGGAACGAATTGAGAAATGTACATGAAAAAGATACACTTACAAACAGAATATCTTTGTACAAGAAAATTGCATTACTTCGAATGAACGAAAATGAAAAAATTGAAAATCATTTAAATCAACTAAGTGAACTATTTCAAAAATTGTCTGATCTTGGTGATGTACCATCTGAACAATGGAAAATAGGAATGGTATTTGCGAGCTTACCATCAACTTACTCAACGCTTGTAACAGCCTTGGAAGCACGATCTGAAAGGGATTTGAAGTGGAGTTTGGTGTATACAAAATTATTGGATGAGTATCAAAGACAACACGAAACATTGAAACATCATGAAGAAAGAGTGCTGAAAACTACACACAAAAGCTACTGTAACTTCTGTAAGAAGAAAGGACATGAAATGGACAATTGCTTCAAATTAAAACGATTTCAACAGTTTGAAGAATTCGAAAAATATTTGGAACAACAACGAAAAATTGAAAAAGATGAATTGGTAATTAACGAAATTCATAGTGACAACGAAAAAGAAGAAGAAGTGATATTAAATATAAAAGAAAATGATAACCGTGATTTGTAAAATTGGACCATTGATTCGGGAACAACAAGACACATTTGCAATAACAGAAAAATGTTTAAAGACCTGAAGAAACTTGAAACTCCGCTTGAACTAACTTTACCCAATGGACAAAAAGTATTTGCGAAGAATCAAGGAACTTGTTCAATCAAAATTTTGGATGAAAACGGCAAATCAAAGAAAATACAAATAACAAACGTAGTATACGTGCCAGAATTAAAACAAAATCTACTGTCAGTAACAAAAATAAATCAAATGGGATACATAGTTTTATTTGATGAGAATCGTTGTGAAATACGTAAAAAGAACAAAGTAGTGGCTACTGCGAAATTAAAGGGAGGTTTATACAAATTGTGTATTGAGAAAAAAGAAAGAGAAAAGAAAAATGATGAAGAAAACATTTGTGAAATTTTGACAAATTTTGTAATAAAATGATGTTTCCAAATTTACTGAATCAAGGGGGAAATGTTGCAAATAAGTATGATTCAGTATTTGCAAACTAGTATTCTATGAAATACTATTGTCATTTAAAAAATAAAAAATATATTTCATTCTTTCAATAGAGTTCAAACTATTCAGTTGTTTTATTATCCAACAAAAGATAAATGAATTTTTGTAGTGAATAGAATTTATACGAAGTAAAAATTGGAACTAAATGAAAACATGTATTCTATTTCGTATTTTTTCGTCCGGGTTTCGGCAGTTATTTAGGACTTTTTATTTTTACACTTTCTAACACACTAGTAAGGATTTGAAAATTCTATCTTTGATGATATTAACTTCAAGATGGTTCAGACGACATTTTTCTTCAGTTATAATCTCTTTTGCTCAAATTTCTCAAAATAAATAAATGCATCATAATTGTGATTTCATTTGTATTGATTTTAATCAAGACCACGAAAAATGAATTCAAATCTATCTCAAAATCGATTGATTGTTGCGCTAAATGTCCCGAATCAAAATTCGAAAATTGTATAATTATGAGATACATTCTGCACACAAGCAAGCCTTAGGTATGCACTCAATGCATTCTGAACCAATTCTTATTCTAATGCACATTTATGGAATTAACGTTAACACAACCATTTAAAATCGATAACTGAAAATGCCTATTGAATAAATAGTAAAAAATGTAATAAAAAAATCAATTGCTTTTGCTCTTGCTCATATAATTCTTATACGGTTTTATTTTCTCTTTCGTCTTTCATTTCCATTGTACATTGTTTTATATATGTGAGGGAGATAGCGATAAGTATTAATAAAATATTTCAATTGAACGTTATAAAGAAGAAAAAAAGATCAACTGAAACCGAGCTATACTATATATTTTCACAAGCATTTTTTTTTCTCTCAAGATTATTGTTTTTTATCGCATCAAAGTCGGAACTATTTGAACGTGTGTGATTAGATATGGAGACATCTTCATGAAATGAAATAAAGTAAATACAATACAATTCATTAGAATGTGTGTTTGGTTGTTAAATGAAAATTTGACCAAAATTAATCGAATAAGACTATTCGAAATGTGATTGATCAATACCGAATATGGAATAAATTTTATTGACATCATAGACGAGTTAAATGTGCGACGAGTTAAAAATAAGAAAGTCTGGTTATTTTAATGGGTCAAAATCACTTATCGTAAATTCAGTTGGAATATCATTTTTGAATTTGTCAACAAAAAAACAGGTCTTTTGATTCAATGACCTTGAAATATCAGTTCAGGCTAAAGAGGAAAAGAAACGAAAAGGAACAAAACAAAGAATAAAATACTTACATATGTGTATGTATTTCATTATTCGTCGATCTTATATATACGATAGCATGAACAAACATCATTGAGAAACATCGTTTCATACATTTCCTTATCACCAAACGCACGGACAATATTGGATGATGGTTCGCCGCCTTGTTTTTGAAGTAATATATCATTTGCCAATGACATCACACTTTTCACCGTACGTCCATCCAATGTTTCGTCATCAAATTCTTTGCCCAATTCAAATTCGATTTCTGCTTTTCTGAATGGTGGTGTGGTGATCAATTTGTATTTATTTCCATCGCCTTTTTTCAATTCAATGTATGGTATGATTTGCGTATAATTTCTACGAAGGACATCACCAACACCGAGCACCTTCAAATACTCGTCAAAGTTGTATGATTCATGGTATCTATACCGTTTGCCTTCCCAAATTTCCTTGGCTGTAAAAGAAACGAAAATTAAACATGACTACAATAAGATAAGTACACTTTGAATTTGAAAAGTATGCTATGTACTTTTTGACATTTACGAATATTTTCGTAATCATAAATTGTTGATTTCATTATTGAACATTAAATTGATTGACGAACAAGTGACATTTATATATATCATTTTAAAATTACCAGCAGCAACAGCTACACAAAGTGCGATCAAAGGGATGGTGAACTTCATTTTCGATGTTTTCTATTGTATGATTGAACAACGACTGATTAAGTAGACGCAGAACTGTGTGAAGTGACAATACATTCAAAAAATACTGTAACATCTGACCCATCGTGTATATTTGCGTAGAAGGTGGATCTAAAAGAAATGAGCAAAACAATACATTTCACATTTTTATTTTCACACTCACACGTCTCTCCATTAGTGAGATCAAGTTATTGGTTTACTTGGATTTTTTTTTGCTTGCGACCTAAGAATCGTACATGTCATCACCTGAAATTGTGCTGATGATCCAAAACATGTAAAAAGTTGTGCTCGAAATGTGCTGGCGAATGCAATTGGTGTCAGGACTTGTGCTCATCCGAGTGACGAGCACTATTCGTTGAAAGTCGAAAAAATACGATTGGAAGTGATTTTGGAGCACCTCAACTGTACCTTATTTTTACACACTAGTAAGGATTTGAAAGAAGTGACTCCAACATCTTTGATAATATTAACTTCAAAATTGTCCAGCCGACATTTTTCGTTAGTGAAAATTTCTGCTGCTCAAATTTCATAAAATAGATAAATGCATCATAATTGTGATTTCATTTGTATTGATTATAATCGAGACCACGAAAAATGAATTCCAATTTATCCCAAAATCGATTGAAATAACAAACATGATTCAGCATCATCGGCACAATATGTGATGTTGCGCTAAATCTCCCGAATCGAAATTCTATCACGCTACCAAATGCCTTCGATAAGAAAACGTATTGAAAAAAGACTGCACTGCAGATTGAAATGATTGTGAGCGTTTAATCAAAATAAATGTTCGTTCCATCGTCTGAATTACCTGCCACGCCCTTGGCATGAGTGCCATAACATGAACATTACGATGCAATTCTGCATGTGTTCGTTAGGCTGCCTTTTATCAAAAATGGTGTACTGCATCAATATAAATTAGATTTATTGTTTCGCTTTCTCCTCACCGTAAATCGTTGTACTCAATCAAACAAACGATTCATGGGCCCGAGTCGTAAAAACATCATATTAGCCACATTAACATGAGGGAAATGCCTGCAATTTAGTGATAAATGAAGTAGCTAGGCTAGTTGGTGCAGGGAAATGCGTTTCCACTTCGGATAAATGTCACTGCAAAGGCAGGCGAAGGCGGTTGCTGTGAAGTAAAAAGACGATAACATTTATTGACACGTGTCGTGTTAAACGGAATCGTATTCCAAGTGTCTATCCAGACTAATTTTTAATGGTTTTTCCGCACGCGGCAACTTGTTTCACAATATTGTATTCGTATTCTTTTGCTTAAGTAACTCGTGATATCGTATCACGATATAGGGTTACCAATTGTGACGAAGAAGAATGAATGAAAACAACAAGAATTATTAGACAATTTTCCGAATGAAAATGCGAAAACGTATTGTTCGATTCCGTAGTTTGAATAAAAAAAGGGGGAATCAATTTAATGGAATTATATACCTATTCAAAGAATCAATTGCAATCTATTCTCACGTGAATTGCGTGCATGTTGTGTGTAGGTTGCCGCATTAATATCTCATACGATGAAGATGAAGTTGATCGAATTTTAATTTAAACTCGTTTCTTCCATTCATCTTGTGTTAATAATTCATTTACGATGTGAAAAATAGCCATACACGAAACATTCACATTTGAATTATTGGCACATTAACGTAACAAATAACATGATATTTCGGTTCGTAAATCAAAATATTATGATTGCATTTCGTTTTGTTTGGATATATTGTCTTTTATCGGTTTGGTTTTTGATGATGATTATTTTTGGTTACCCTTCCATTGAGACGCAAGCGATAAACACACACAGCGATAAAATAGGAAAAATACAAGACATTAGAGACGTAAGTAAAAGCAATTGTATAAAAATAGAGACAACGGCGATGGCGGCATGCGTTTTAAATCTTTCTTCATTCACCGCACACCCAGTTTATACATAAACAACATTTCATCAATCTCATCTTTCGCGTCTACATCGAAATCATTGATGCACTGAACTATGCATGTTCGGTGTTCACCGTATGCTCCAATAAAATGAAACATCGTAAAACGTTTATAATATAATCTTTATTCACCGCCAAAACTGGCTGAATCATAGTTTTGAGTTTGTACATATCTTTATACATGTATTGGTGGAGAAAAGGTTTGTATCAATGATGCAATATACATCTGATCACCATTAAAAACCACATCTTTTCAATAATGAGTTATAATATAAAATAATTTACGGGTTTGAATAGGTGAAAAATAGATCAATGAAATAGATAAATAGCTAATAGTAAAAAATTTCAAATTGCACTCGGATACAATTAGTCAAAGCGGTAGATATAAATAAATAGAATAAATATCACAATGAATCACATTAGATCGTTCAAAAAAACAGTATTATGGTTAGACACCAATGACAAGTTGGAAAAGTGTTCATCACTTAAAGCTAAAAGTCGATTTTTGAATGTTGATCTGTTCGTTTGCGTAGAAAAAAGTTCGTGGACTTTATTTGACATTTTGCACATTTGATTAAGCGGCACAGTTGGATTGATTCTTAATAATTTGTCGTTGATTTTGAAATATTCGATATTTCTCAGGTTGCGTTCATTTTGATTTATAGCAATCTCCATTTTAAGCGATGGGCAATGAATCTTATTATGCAGTAGATCGAATATGTATAAAATTGAGGCATTTATACGGCGTCTTTGAAGTGACTGCATATTGAGCTTGCCTAGACGAGTGCTGTACGATGAAATTTTAAAGTTGTTTGAAATATTTGGATATTCTTTGAGTGCGAACATTGTGAATTGACGCAGGCATGACTCGATTTTGTTTTTGTGTATGCCATGATACGGTAGCCATACCAAACTGGCATATTCCAAAATTGACTGTACAAGTGCACAGTAAAGAGATTTCAGAGTATGGACATCAGGAATATCGTAGCAGAATCGCTTCACAAATCCGAGTGCTGATGTCGCTTTGGCCACAATAGAATCGATGTGCTTGATGAAGTTGAGTTTGTTGTCGAAGATGACTCCCAAATCTCTTTGCTCACTCACTCTTTTAAAATTATGATTGCCGTAAGAGTACGAATTTATTATTTTGTCTCTTTTTTTCGATATGGACATGATCGAGCATTTGTCCAGGTTCAAATGCAGTTTGTTGTTGTCACACCACATCCCTAACTTGTCGATTGCTGATTGAAGTTTGGATGTATCGTTGATATTGGCGATTGATGTTGCTAATTTCAAATCGTCGGCGAATAGAGAGATAAAGATATCGTCGTCTTTGATGGCATTTACGATATCATTAATAAAAAGGAGAAATAGTGTGGGGCCCAAGTGGCTTCCTTGAGGCACCCCAGAGTTTACGACAAACTCGCTTGAGTCCATCTGTCCATATTTAACGAATTGACGACGATTCGACAAATACGATTTAATCCATTCAATTAAGTTTGGTGGCAGGTGGAAACTTTGCAATTTTGAGATCAGAATCGAATGATCAACGATGTCGAATGCTTTGCTGAAGTCAGTGTAGAGAACTTCTACCTGCTTATCGTCGTTCAGTGCTTTGATGGAATAGTGCGAAAATTCCAGTAAATTTGACGACGTTGAGCGGCCTTTCATAAAACCGTGTTGTTGGGGTACGATTTTATCTGCCACCATTTTACTGAGCTCCAAATTGATCAAATATTCGAAAAATTTGGCTATCGTTGGCAATTTGGCAATGCAACGATAGTTTTCAACGTTTGATCGCGATCCTTTCTTGAAGATTGGTCCGACACTATAGCGCTTCCATCCAGTGGGAAAATTTCCAGTGGAGAGCGATTCGTTAAAAATAGTTGAAAGTGGCTCATACAGTACATCATTTAACACGATCGGAAATGAATAAAACCGAATTTGTATATCAAACGTGCTTATAATGTACTCGATTTCTCTTCTTTTCAACTCTATAAGAGATACAATGGAACTCTTTATTTGAATTACAAACAACGGTTGAACCGAATTTATTGAACTTTTTTTTTTTTTAAATACAAATTAGGTTTTAAGAAAAATTGAATAAATTTGGTTCAAGAACCTTGAGCAAATGGTCAATTCATCATTAATTTGAAAAAAAAAACCATAATTTTAAGAAACTCATAAGATTAAGGTACTGCATAGGTTCTGACCAGGGGTCTAAAGGGGAAACGATTTGAAATGACCTCTTTTTTTTGAAAAATTGAAATTGTGGAAACACCTGCCCCTTAATCGCCACGCTATGTCAGACGCTATGAAGCTGTGATATCTAAAAAAATATATTCTCAAACTGGAATAGACAAAACTGAGGAAATGTTGTCCATTTAGAAGAAAGATAATAACAAACGTGTGATTTTTCAAAAACTTTAATATTCCCAGCCAAATAGTCTCATTTCCTGGCTCGATAATTTTATTGCTAAGTAAGCTTTTATTGCCAAAACTGGACCTACATCTTCGCGGATACGTCTTGTGCAACTGACGTAAAGAAAAATGCATGAACCAGACCATGAATGTTGGCAATCAACATTTTATTCTTCTTTAAACATATGCATTAAGCTATAAAACCGTCAAGAATTCCAATTCGAATTTCAAATGTGTTTCAATTCAACGGCGATGGAATCTCGTGAAATGCATAAAAGCATAATACGATTTTGTGCTAAAAATAGTCAATATTAACCCATGGCCGGAAAGCTGTATGTTGAAAAATTCGGCAACAAAATCTTTGCTATTAGAGAATCTAATGCAATCGAACGGTGTTATGGTATGAGTTAAAATGCATATAATTTAGAAATTATTCCGCTCAACATTTCTCAAGTGAAATATGTAATTATTTGTTGTTTTGCCGACCAACATTCTGTGTTCATTGCAAATTGTGAAGAATTTATTTTGTAGTCTCGACCATGTTAAATTTTATGTAATAAAATGGTCCTTATCGTTTGCCAGTTAAAACTTCTGCGACTATTTTGATCAAGCCGAACAATCTTGTTATATTTGAA